TGTGACCACATTCTCACGGCAAAGGGCTTGGGCTGAACAAAGGAATTGTATTTGGCTGTCAGATGTACAATATTTTGATTGGACTGGCTAAGCGGAGGGAGGGCAACACAACTGCACGCATACTTCATGTTTGTATGAAACAAAGTCCAAAACCTTGTTTCCCCTCATCTTGCACTGAAAATTCCAGTATGCATAGATAGCAAGTTCTATTTGAGTTTGTCAGTTGTGAGCATATTTAATATAAAAATTGATATAACTACCACAGACATACCTTTACAAGACAATAATTCAATTCTACACACAGGATATTTCTATAATATCTAGTACATTGTGCATTTTCAAAATTAATTGAAGATAAACTAGAAAAATGCCCAGGTTTATTTGAAATGCTAAAACAGTGTTACATACAGTATTATTTGGGGGCTTTCAAAGCTTCTGGGCACACCCTGATTTTTTTTTTATATTGGCTCATTCAGAATTCTATTTTGTTATTACATGCATATTTACTAATAAAAAAAAAATAAAATTAAAAATCACTCTATGTAACCAGCAGCAGAATATCTGCACCATCAGTCCAAGAAAGATCATGGCATTTCTCCCAGACCCCACATCCTGGCTTGATGAGTCAAAGCGATGCTCCTATTTCCAAAATTATGCATAATGATGTATGATATCCCCAACACTTTTGCCACATTATATCAGATTTACAAGACAGACTGCAGGAGCATTACAACACAGCTCACTATGTCAGGGTGTGGGGGAGGACAAAAGTCCTTCTAAACTATGCACCGGAGAACATTATAAACTGCAAATATCGATGCGGGTGTCACATGAGAATGGAACTGACCTAAACTGACGTGTGACCCTAAACTGACAAACTGATTTGCGGAGGGAAACTCCGGTGACATTATATGGAGATTCGCATTTATTCCTTCCCTCAGGATTTGGTTGGTTTTACGGTATCTGCTAGAAAGCTCTCTGGACTAATTTTGAGTGTCAGTGTGACTGATGAATGCTCTTCACTCCCCCAGCTGAAATTCTGTTCTGAATCGTCAGACACAGATGGTAAATCTAATGACCTAATCTGTCAGAAAGTGTCTATGAGGTGAGACACTTGCCGAACGATTACTGTTAAACACTTCTTAGTAACACACGAGCAATGCAGTCACCCAACACTAAATAATAACACTTTACAATGTATACGTACACAGTTGCTGCCTATTCTTAAGTATGTTTAGCTGAAACTGGGTCAGTCACTATGCTAATCAATTGGATGGAACCATTTCAACATATTCTGCAAATGTTGTTTTCATTAGTTACAACTGTACCGTTTTAAATAGCTAGATATTTCACTTGTACAGTTTGGTCCACATTGTCATGGGATCTCTTTTGTAGATCACAAAGCTAAACACCTCCTTGGACATCAACAGAATTGAGGCTACAAGTCTGTAGCTCTAACCACTGTTCTACTTAATACACACTACATAACAATTAACCAGGTACCTTTCAGACTAATTTTAACACAGAGCCATGCTATAATTAGACCATCAGTTTCACTTCTTTTTAAAGCCGCACACCGTTATTTAATGTGAAATGTAATCCAGGCTTTAACAATCTAAAAATGCTGTTGTTACACTTCTGTTGTCAGGAAGGTTCTGGAATCCACCCGCTGATGGACCTGTTATTGTAGGCGCAGTGCAGAAACACACACCCACAGAGAAGAAGCAATTAAGGCGGAGACTAATGACTATAATGGCAAAGAAGGCAGTGTAAGGGTGTCGACTGTCACTCTGGGGAGCGGGGCACTCTCCCGGTAAACTCTATCAAAGTACAACAAGTCGTGCCAACCACTCTGCCCTAGAAGCTTGAAGGCACCAGCCAGATGCACACAGCTAGAAAGCCTCTTGTAAGCAGCAGCCTAGACTACACAAGCTGCTGAGTGCTTTTCTACTTTCACGTTCCCCGCAAATAGAACAAGTCCTGATGCCCAACGAAAGAGACGGCTGTATATTGTTCTCTAGTTCATTCCATTTCTCTTGTAGGAAGGTCCTGAAAGTGGCAAGTCCAAGTACACAAAATGGCTGCATTTTTCATATATCTACTTTATACACAAGCATAAACAAATATCATGCTTAAGGGATGAACTGCGACGAGGTGTGCGGTTATACGAAAATAATAAACAACAACTTGGTGTAATGCTAACCACACATCTCACATCGCGAAGTGCTTTATCCCGCTTATACCATGGCAAACAAACAAAAAATAATAACAGAATAAACTAGTCATGGCTAATTTTTCAAAGTGAAATAATTTCAATTAGCATTTAATAATGTTCCAGTGTGCTCTTAAATATACCGCCATTACATGGAAAGGACGTCTGGTCAGGCTACTCGGTGGAAGCGGCAAGTCCACTTAGTAACCATAGAAACCGTCAACAGAGAGGAGCTTGGGTTTGAACAAACAAGGGACATTATGCTGATAGGAATAGCTGCTTACTTATGAGTAAAAAGCCACGCAAGATTTTATATTATGTTTGATAAAACGTTAAAATGCATTAATACAGAACGGTTATTAGGCTGCCGAAACCTGTGCGGTTACACGAAAATAAACACAAAAGAAATCAACACCCACGTGACATCTGTGGACCAATAAGAAAACAGTATTTACCAAAGCTGTAATAACTTCATATAAAAGTTAATATGGACACAAAACAATTTGATACTCTTCAGTTTCAGGCAGAGGTGAAGCGACAGCACAGGTGGGGGCCCTGAGGGGGCTACTAATTACAAATTACATTGAAACGACAAATCTGCCTTCTCTGTGTAATTTATTTTGAACAGAAGTGAAAATAAATTATTTGTGTTTATTACATTCTCTTTGTCGGTATTATTAATTTAGACTTCACGATAAAAAAATACATTTTTCCATGTCGAGGGATAGAGAGTTGAGGGGCCCCATTGAGTTTTTTTGCCTAGGGCCCCCAGTCCCTAGACTTCTGGCGATATATAATACACAGAAACAAAACACAAAACCAGAAATGTTGATAAATAAAAAGTGGCACTTTTTAGTTTTGTATCACTGACTTAGACAATTGGGTACATACAACTTTGACATGAACGTGAGGCAGCTTCCCTTCTCATCTCATTTTTGGGTCAATTATGCCCCCAGGCAGGCTGGCATGGACACTGATACAGAGTGAAAGGATTTTTTTTTTGCATGCACCTCTCCATAATACCGCAGCATGATCACGGAGGAGGATAACGCAGTGCTCCTGAGGCACAACTGCTGGAGGAACTACCTGGCCGCAGTGTCTGGAGCTTATGAGATTTTTACTGCGGCAGAGAGAAATGGAGATTCTGACTCCTCCAACCTTCAGCTACAACAGCAGCAAACACCGGGAAAAATGCTAAGAAATTCTGAATTTGAAAACAGCTCTAAAATATTAATATGGGATCATATGCAATATATATTATTAGCGACAAGCTACATAAATGCACTTAGCAAATGAAATCTGGCTTTACTTAGAATTACTTTAAAGGTACGGTCAAAAGCACAGGATGAAAATTCGTGAAAGATCTTGATGTAAAAATGGAAAGTGGTGGTAAGCAGGTTTGCCAAAATAAGCAAGATGGTTCTGTGTCACAGTGAGCAGTAGCACTGCTTCACAGCTCCAGGGTAATGCATATTATTAATCTGCTTATTACGTGCTAGTGGAGTTTGCTTGAGGTTTTTGGGTGAATTTCACCCACTAGCTAAAGTCGTACTGTTTAGCTGCATTACTGCCCTGTGATGGATTGGTATCCTGCCTAAGGCACTTCCCTGCCTTGTAGCAAGTACTGCCTGGGATGGATTCTAACCCCTTACATGACCTAACACTGGTTAAGCAATGGGAAGATGGATTGATGGGTTAGTGAAAACTCGAAACTGGCAAAACAACAATAACATCATGCCTTGTCTGAATATCAAAGACTATTGTACATCTTCAACTTACACCTGTTTTGTTTTTGCATAAGTAAAAAAAAAAAGTTTGTATAAGTTTCATCAGAAGAAGCAGAGTTTTAAGACCATATCTTCAATGCAAAGCTCTTAGCTCTCTGGGAGAATAGTGCCTTTTATCTGAAGAAGTTGTGCAGGGTATTAGTAGCCGAGGGCAAAGTCTGGATCCCCAAACAGGCCACAGCAGACTCACTAAGGAGATAAGATTCTGGATCACCTGACAGCATCTCCGGAGTGGAAGCAGACAGAACATTACACACCCACATTTCCCTCATCATTACCCTCACTCTCAAAATTTGTTTATGGATTCTGAGATGGCAGCTGTTCTAGTTCACGACGACGGCAAACTTCTCGTCGCTCCGAGGTGTACAGAGATGTAATAGAATCTAAAACAGCTTATCGCTTGAAATTTATTCCACCAGAAGGAATAATCCATGCTCCCCCGTGAGCAGGTCAGCTTGGCGTCCAGAATCGTGCATCTGGCACCTGCTGCTTTCAGCCTGCCCCCATGCTCGGTGGGGGGGGGGGGGGGGGGGGG